TTTGATCTTCTCTAAATTGAATGGCACGGATAGGCCCCGGCCACACGAGGAGATCCACGCGAAGTTAAGCTGCGTTGTCCAAGGCGCGTCTGTTGCGTCTGACGCAGAGCGATGATCGCCGAGCGATGATCGCTGGGCGTCGATCGCTTAGAGGCCCGTTGTCCAAGAACGCGTCTATTCAGTTCAACAGTTGGTTGCTGTGTTAAAATTTATTTTGCTCTCACTATTAGCGTTAAGAGCCAAGTCTTGAAGATCCTATTCATCGAAGAGATAGAAAACGAGGAAATTCTGGACCTTTAGTGAACCTCGATTGTGTACCCACAGTGTTTTCAAAAAGAGAAGTGATGAAGGATATTTTAGAATACTTATCAAAAACCACTTTAATGCAGACAAGAGTCTGTTAAGTGTTTTTTTTTTTTTTTTTTTTACTTTTAATGGAAACAGTTTAAGTTCCGTTAAATCCCTTGAAGTTTAAATTGTAATAATTTAATTTAATACTAATTTATTATTATTTTGAAATTTTGTCTTTACTTAAATACAGATATCTCCTATTCTAAATAACTCCCAATATGTAATCCATAGCTAAAATAAAAGTCAATACTTTGGTGAATTATTTTAGACTGTAATTTTAATTTAATTTTGTGTTTTTCTTCGTAGCGGGTCTCTAACTCGTCTGATTTTAATTATCAATAACTCAAATGGAAGCCCTTACATTACTGAATATTTTAAGGTTGATACGAACTGCAAGCGTTAATAAGAGCTGGAGATATTAAAAAAAAAATGATAAAAGTACGAAACCTATAAGAAATGTATGGGGAAGGGTTTTCGTTTGAATAACTTTAAAACGAAAAAAAATAAAAACGGATTCCCTTATTGAAATTAGCATGAAAATCTAGTTTTGTAAATGATGTGTCACAAAACTATCATTACATAAAAAACAATATTTATATCCAATATGGTGGATCCAAGATGGCGGCCATAAACGTGTTTCCTATCGAAATGAAGTACTAACCACCCAATAAATACTGGTGGTGGTCTTAAGTCAATATCTCGAAAATGTGCATAAAAAATGCATGTGGAATCATTTTTTATTATTTTTCCAATGTTGGGAAAAGCTACCATTTTTTATAATGATTTTAGGGGGTTTCCCATGGACCGATTTTTGGCAACCTTTAGTATAACACTCAGCAGACTCAACACTACAAAATAAAACCCTAAAACATTATCTTGCAATCTTTTTAGGTCATATTCTATATTTCTTTGACTATAGCCATTACATTAAGATACTGTGTATTATGGAGTATACGGGAGAACACAGGAACAACAATGCAATAGACGCAATAGACGCTGGCCGTCAGCGATCCCGTCTGCTCCCGGAGCAGTGCCCAGCGTCAGACGCTCAGCGTCTCAAGCGTCTGACGCTAGAGACGCTCCCTTGGACAACAGGCCCATAGAAACCAATGCTTAGCAGTCACTGAGCGTCCATCGCCAGCGTCTATTACTCAGCGTCGGACGCAACAGACGCGTTCTTGGACAACGGGCCTTTATGGGGTTCGTCAACACATTGAATCAAACGATAGTGGCCAAACGAAGTGAAGTTTAGACGCCTAGAGGGCCGGAGTTCAGAAAGAAAGTCCATATTCAAATCCCGCCAATGAACAATGCAAAATTCCTCTATACGGTATGTCCTGATGAGTGATGGTTCAGAATACTGAACTTAAGGGTCGTCAACGTCCACCAATCAAGTATATAAATGGAAAATGGATAGGACTCTCAGGCTCAGGGAGCTTTTCTTGATTTGTTATCTCCCTACACGTAACGTTAACGTATTCATCGAAGTTTGGTATCTGATCAAAGTTTTTCTTTGTCAACGGAAATTAAGATAGCAACCTATTTGTCAAAAACAATTAAAAAAAAATTATCGTCATGCCTCCTTTTTTTTGAAATGACCAAGGCAGAGTTTCAGAAGTATAATTTATAGACTAATCATAGAAGATGAAAACATTACAACATAAAAATTACATGCTATTACAACAAATTACCCACTTTTATCAAATACCCACAGTTTTGCCAACAAAGTGGGTAATTGCCCACCCTTTGGCTTAACCTAGGTTGTTGGAGAGGGGAATGCCAAGTCAGGGGGGATTGTAATTAACTGGAGTGGAGTCTGAATGCTGAACTCGGTTAACGCACAATGAGGAAGAAGAAGAACTCTTTTGTCGACCAATCATAGGAGTCTCACGCAATGATGTCGAGATCATAGCTTCATCTGGGCCAGGCAACAAAACTTTGGAGTGTTTCGGCAGTCAGAAAAAATCGCTATTTCATTCTAAAAAAACCGGTGCACTTACTAACATTAATATTTGATAGAGTTAGGAAGATTTGCAGTTTTTTAAGATAAAATTTATTCACCGGTACTTTCACAGTATTTCATTAAGTATATGCCTAAAGACACAAAACATTCAAAATTGAACGTAATTATAGTGATTGAGGTACAGTAGTTTGTTTCTTCTAAACTATGAACATACTTGAACGCTTCTTTGTATACCAACTTAATAATGGTGCTAGAAACAAGTTTACGATTTGTGAAATAAGTTAGAGGATACACAAACTTGCTTAAATATGAGGAATGTTGTATGTCATGATGAAACTTATTGTAAGTGTATAACATACTCTGGAAAAAATGTTCACTCCGTTACTGATGAGTTCACAACTTTTATGTGGAAATTGTGCGCGACTGATAGAATGATTACTGTGCACTATGGAACCTGTCTCCTGACCGGGTCTACCTGAGGACTTCTGCCATGGGTAACCGGGTTTAAATCCTGCCCATTGGCAATGTGTACAGGTGATATTGTTGTGGCCCCGTTGTTTGAGACACATCCTAATTTGCTTAACTGTTCAATAACCTAGAAAAATATATGACTTTAAGCGTAGGATAACTCTTTCCTCTAGAACGCATGCGATATAGCGAAAGAAGAGCGTTTACTTTACAAAAATCCTTCGTGGGCAAAAGATTTTACGCTAGCAATGTAGATTGGTGTTTTACTGATTACAAACACGCTGTTTGAAAGGAGCTCGGAAATTCGTTGACCTCTTTCCTTGAAACAAAAACTGTGCTTTGAGAGATTGGACTTTTTGAACTATTCACGGTTTGCTTGTTTGAACGCTTTTTAATATATCTATGTATTGATGGGTTCTTTCGGCAATTAATTTGTTGATGATTAACCCTAATTTGAAGTAAAAAATTAAATGATCGTGTTGTAAGTAAAATATATAACTTTGTATTAAATCAAAAGTAAATTATGCATATACGTTTCTACATTAAAACCGACGGTAAAAATACGGTATTTGTGTTTAGACCTGTACATGTACACCTAATATTCAATCATTAAATGATAGTATTTCTTAAGATTTTATTTAAGAATACAACATACCAAATTCAAATTCATTTAACGTAAGCTAGCATGGTTGTGAATACTATAATGAGCGGTAAGGGATTAGATTGCAAAATTAAAGAGGAGGAGATTAAAGAATTGCCATATAAGTAGTTTAGACGTTTATAATTGTATTGTTTTTACGAAATTTCATGAAAAACTATGATGTTAGTTGTTGCCGCTCATTTGTACTGCCGTAACGAAAGATTGTAATCGAATTTCTAATAGTAACTGTGTAAAAAAAAGAATAATATAGGTGGCTTTTTTTCTCAGCAAAGGGCAAGAGAAGTGAAATTCTTGCGCTAGGAAATGCCAACGATAACTGGATAACGATAGCCAACAAGTAAATCGAGGTCGCTTTAATAGCAAATCGAACAACTGAAACTGAACTGTACTTTCTATCTGAAAATAATTTGTACCCTCAATTCAACAAAACATACAAAATCCCATTAATCCCATTAATTAACATTATCCCATTAATGTTGTAAGTACCAGGAACAAAATCGCAGTTTCAACTCGATACCTCAAAGTTTTTTAAGACAAAATATTCTGGTTTGGAACGGTTTACAATGTTGAATTATCTTTATTTTAGGTTATGTGACTTTGAACACCGTTGCTGTAGGATTTTCCGAGGTAAATATTGGAAATATCCTTTTCAAAAAGTGTTTTCCCTCAAAGATACTGCAGCAAAACAGATGTTTTAATTCGTGCTTTCGTGCTTTGAGGGGCTAAAGTAGCTCTTTTCTCCTTTGGAAAAAATAATCCATTGTAGTATTCATACTAGTCGTAAAATTCGTCGGCAAATTTTGGAAGAAAATTCCCGATTAAGAATACTGTAACTAAAATTGCGTCATCATTAATATTTATTTCTGTTTATCGGCATTTTAAATTGATTTTTCAACAAATATACCCCCTTAATCGAAATTAAGACACATTGAAATTTAAGAGAATTCATTACCTACTGTAATAAAATAATTGATTTCGTGTTGGTATCCAATATTCAATGGTAATACATATTGCATATTATAAATAAAAGTACATTGGCTGTCCCTATATAATAACAAAACCAGAAAACAAACATTTTGGAAGCTAATTTCTAAAGGTAAACAATGTAGGCATACCCAATTTATGTGAATTAATTATTTAGTTTGACGAAAAATATTGTTCATGACGTAGGAAAAAATTTCAATTTAACCCTCGCTCGGTTTTTAGCAGCGAGCACATAATAATAATAATAATGTTATGTGTTCGCTGGTTTTTAGGTTGTCAATTTAAGCCCGGGCCGAGTCCACCGAAGCCGTAGTGACGAAATATAATCCCGCAATATCCACGGATAGAACAAAAACGGTATGGATCATAATCATAAACAAATTACGTCACTGACCCGAAAGTAAGCACGTGTTTATTAATATTTTATCAGAACTGTCAAAAACGTCCAAACCAGCTATTATGGCTATAGTATAGACATTCGAGCCAATGAAAACATTTGTTATGTTCATGATCCATGCAATTTCTGTTCTAGGTATTATCATTGAATGTAGTGAAACTTAGTGATGTACTCACCAGTAAACAGCATGTAAGCACCGGCTACGATGATGGCGAAGAGGGCGAACAGTTTGGCGTAGGTGAATGTATCCTGCACCCTGGTGGCCCATTTGACATCCCAACAATTGATGAAGGTGAGAACCACTGAAACAGCGAAATAGAAGATTACAACAAGGAAATGTAAGTAATAAAGGGTCAAGGTGGGTGTTACTGGAGCCTTCTAACCTACAGCGTCAATGTAAAATGAGGTAAAACACTACAGAAGTAATAGAAAAAGACATAGCAATAATTCTGGGTAATGAGTTTGCCCATGCAGGAGTTGTAGCCTATACGTATTAAACGTGACAGCAACGTATTGAAGGTTCTATGATAGATTAAATGTTGAGGAATTTCACAAGAGTTTAATGTGAATTATAAACAGCTGTTCTCCTCTCTTTATTCACCACTGTTTCGTTTAAAATTGTTACTATCAACTCCATCATTGCATCCTAACCTAACCTAACCTAAAATACAAGGACGCGGTGGCGCGGTGAGACAAAACTGCCAACGCCGCAGACCAGGCCTATTGAAACAGCTGTTGTACTTATGGAGCATATCCGCAATGTTTACACGATTGTTATTACCATTGAGTATAGACATAACCCTTAGGTTTATACTCAATGTTATTACTGATACCATGACAATCAGCCGGCAAGTGTGACGTTGCCACATACCATAAGAGGAGGCTATGACTCCAAACAAGAGGTTTAATTTACTATGTCATAGGCACAAAAGTTAAAGATAATCCAAAAGTAATTGGGACAGATATTGTTGAGGCGTTGGAGCGGTGAATAAAATCATGTAAAAAGTAAACGGTATCAGCAAACTGACACATACTTTCTCCCAATAGCTCGTCAACAAGCATTATCATGGGTATGCGGTGGGAGTAAGTATGGTATTTTTGGATAGAATAAGCTGCAAAAACTCTTGAACCGTTATGTTTACAGCAATCGGGGGTTGTACTACAGTATTTTGTTTAGAATTGTAAGGACCATGACATAGTAATCTTTATAAATAGCTTATTCCCTATATGGGAAATTCGCTAAAACCTACTTTCTTTCAAAAATCCGATTTCCCATTATTTTACAGTTTTTTTATGGGAAAATAGCATAAGTTACAATAAATTTTGAACCGTAATTTTTGCAAAGAGAGTTACAAAAATTTCTTCAGAATTTAAAGTGCTATAACCACAGCCACCTCTAATACATCTATTAGAGGTGGCTGTGCTATAACATATTAAATTTAAAACCAGATAGTTCGGGTCATTTTCGATAAACTTAAATTTTTCATTATTTTATGGGTTTTTTATAGGAAATCACCACTAAAATCAAAATTTCAAAAATAATTAAAAATGCCTGGATATACCATGGATTTATACCTACTTAAAAAATGCATTACAATCTGTCAACTTGTGTGACCTGTAGCTCTCTACACATACATACATCACTTTAATCCCACTTCTTTGGGTTCAGGGCGACCCAAAACTGATTTATCCACTCTAAACTTGAACTCGAAAACTTAAAAAAAAAAAAATACTTTCTTCATATACTATGGTGTAGGGGGAGAAAGTAACTAGGGTATGTTTTTATATTCATTTTAAGCTCTGAATGCAACAAACAAAATCAATCTTGTGCAGTTTCTTCGACATAGATGTCTAACTTTCTTCATTACTGTCATGTCACAAGAGGGGACCTGGAGGCGTATGTTCCAGAACTGGTTACACAGTAATACGAGTAATGCCACACTCTCCGCTCCAGTTATGCAAGGGAAAGTGAGTTTCCGTGGCAATCGTGAAGATAATCATACGAGGTTATAAACTAGCAGTCATCAGAAAAAAGTTCTAGTTCTGAACAAAAAACTCATGGAAACTAGAACTTCACGCGGAAGAGTTTTTTAACTCTAAAATTTAACATGTGAGTTTGTCCCGTTAGAGGTATATTTTGTCAAATGAAGATACTATAATACTTTCAAACATCTACCCTTTAAGTATCCCTATTTCGATAAATTACATTATCACATCTAAAATATATTCCAAAACCACAATCGCGTCGTCTGTACACGACAATTCCCATATAACGCTAGTATTTAAATGAGATATGAGTTTAGGAACCAGCTTGATCCAAAATGGAAAATGAGGTTTGTACGGGAAAAATGCTGTTTTTCACCAAAACATTTTAAAATGAAACAGTACTTTTAATACTAAAACTAAACTTAAAATACAAACTTACTTATTCTGTAAGAGAATACACGAATGATGTACATTGTTCGGTTATGGTTATACATATTTTTAAAAACTATTTATTTTTATTTTTGCTGATTCCTAAAATTATTCGCATAACCTTAAAGTTGTAGTTGTGTTGACTACCAGTGTGCATTATTATAGTGGTGAATAGTGGCAATAGGGTATAGCGTGGTGAAAAATAGTGTTCGTACCACAGACTAAAATGGTTTTGCAGCTCTCGATCGACTTAAGTTCTCGACTTCGTCTCGAACTTAAAAACTATATCGAGCCGGCAAAACCTCATTTTCGGCCCCAGGTACGAAATATACTACAGTATTTCGTTTTCGTAGTATGTTTTTATCATTAAAAAAACACGAATTCCTTATGTCCCTCGTAGTAACGAACCCAATCACTCATTTAGTAAAATTTTATTTATATGGCCTGATCTTCCAATTAAAAATAGTCTGTTTGGATAGAAGAATCAACAAAAATCTGGAAATTCACATACTTTATTGAATGGTTATTGCGACGATAAATAATTTCCATGGATGGAGTAAGAAAAGGTAATATAGGGAGCATAATTAGCGAAAATAACAATGTACATGCTTCAAATAATTGTTTGGTAAGATTTTTCATGATAAAACAAAAACATTAACTGTCACGGTCTAATACAGACTTTCTGTAAGGCGATTGGAGTGTTAGTGGAGATTTAACTTTGGTCTTGGACCCCTGGGGTATTAATTACCAAAGGATTCCAACTTCTTACTTAGATTGTTGTACACTGATGCAATAGACTTCTATGTTCTATTTTTACCAAATCAGTGCATCTTTATTGCCTGATTTAAAAACATGTTGTATTGATGCTATACAATACAGAATGTGTATTGCACAATAATATTTTGTTGAACTATACAGGATAGTAAAATGATTGTGCCATCAATATAGACACTTAGAAACTGCATGTAGAATTCTAGCCCTTATGTAAAATCTGATGATTGTTTAGGGATGTGTTAAATGTCGTTAAATGCCCGACTGTTCGCATGCGTTTGAATACGTTGTTGTCGACTAATTCTGTGACACTTATATTTAGGGTAAAATCTACAGTGTGCATTTAATGGAGGTTTATAATAATAGAGGAGAAAATAATTGTGTATACAAGTATATCGATTCAATTGGGTGATTTTAAAGTTGGCGAAATTATTAAATAAATAAAGTAACTCATTAACAGACTGAAACTCGCCTTACATAATTTTCAGCTAATACATTAATTGTAAGGATGTAATGAAGTGAATGAGAGTAGGTTTGCTATACGTATCAATCTTACCAGCTAAGTAATTAATTGTCAATTTTGCCTAGCGATTAAAACTGTGGAAGTTCATACGGGAATATAACAAATGCATTTTAAAATAAGGTCCAATATTGTTAACGTAATGTCGTCAATTTAGAGTATATTCATTTAGCAAAGCATCCCTGATGCAAATAAATAATTTTAAAATTTGTCAAGCCTTTGACAGTGTTAACAGTTTGAGTGGAGTGACAATAAAATACTATGTCTCGTGACAACTGTTTACTTTTATGTTAAGCCGTTTACAAATGCACATGGTTCACCTGATTTTACGAGTACTTATTCTACCCCTGCAGTAAAACTGTTAGAGCTCTTAACTATTTTGCACGTATGGATACATTGACTATGGATGTATTACCGTGAAATAGACGTTATAACGAATTCCCCTTAAGGAATAACACATACATTATGTTGGAACAGAACGGTATGGCTCACAAACAAAACAAATCACGTCACTGGCACAAATTTAATACAACCATAATACCTGGTCACATAAAGTTTTCGACGGTTAAATTGAAATATAATTACAAACAAGTCTACTTTCAGGCCAGTGTCGTCATTTGTTTAAGATGCATACTGTTTCTGGTCAAGTATTCGTGAGAAAAATGCTATTACCGTAAGTTTCGTGGTAAAATCTAGACTTCGAACCGATTTTTGGTAGCTTTGTTACCTTTTTGGTAAGCAATAAGATAAAAATTTATCTAGGTAGCTTACTTGTCTCCGTTTTCGCCTATCTTGGTAGTCGGAAGCTATCCGCAGTACTATCCTAAAAATTAGACCAATTCGTATATACCAAGGCAAATATGTGGTTCGGATTCCACTATAAACTGTAGGTCCCTTAGTTGCCATTAGCTGTATGGGCTATTAATTAACAGCTTTGTCTAAGGTATATGTCGGCCTTAGTCACTAACTACAAGATGGCGCCACTCATCCTACACTCATCTCCATTCATACTTGGCTTAAAATACCTACTTTGTATGGTCGCCATTTCATTGAAAAGTATTAAAGTATTAAAAGCTATTTACGGTTTAAAATTTAACTTGGACATTGTAATGAATTGTAATAATTGGTTCGTATTAAATAAATAGCTGTTTTCGGTCAGGAACAAAAATCTGCACCTCACTCATCTCCACTATTCATATTCTGGTCCAAATATTCTATAGTTAGGCCCTCTTCAATAACTTTGGTGGAGAGAAAACGTATACCAAAACCATTTGAGCATACATTACACAATGCAATTACTACCACACAGTTAGGTAACAGCTTTGACTATTAATACAACAACTTCTGTATCCAATAGTCAATGGTAACAGCGATCTCCCAATAGGCAAAAAGATTGTTAAAAATTGTCAAAAGTCGTAAAACATTTTGATTCTAACTTCATATTGCAACAATTTTAATATAGGGTTGAAACAATTTTAAAATTTTTTAACAATCAGTTTTTGTCAAAAAAATAAGTTTTAATACAAGTTGTAACTATTTTACAACAATTTTAAAACAACAATTTTAACAGCAATTTTAAGTTTTAATACAAGTTGT